TGCCCTGTAGGAGAATCCTGGCTCTGCTTTGAACAGGAGGGACTGAATGATGTAATAAAGGAAAAACAATTGAGGATAAAGAAAGGTGATCTGGATGAAACACTGGGTAAGAACCTGTTCATTGACCTGATGGAGAGAATCAGCAGAGAGTTAAACTTAACCAATTGTTGGGTATGTGGGAACACCCAGATGTCAGATATTTGGCCCTGGGAAGGGATCAGCCTGGCACCTTTAGACATTCTAAGGTGGAAATTAACTGAGCAGAAACCCCAGACGGGGAACAGGGGACGAGAACAATGGGATCTGAATACAAGGGTGATCGGGGAAGAATGCATTAAAAGGACAGGAAAAAGATACAAAACCCCTGTGGTAAAAATGGCCTACAAAAGATACCTAACTGTGAAAGATTCGGGTAGCAGGTGGATCCCCCAAGAACCAAACAGGCCACTGGGAGAAAGGAAAGGGGGTGTATTTATCATGAGGGGTACAAACTGCATGAGTGTGCAGAAAAAGGAATAAACCCTTTTTGGGGGTTAAGAGAACTCTCAAAATATTGGGAACATCCTACAGACACACAGGACACTTTTTGGAAGGCCCCTGAGTATGTATTTTGGATTTGTGGGAGCACTGCATATACCCACCTCCCAGGGGATTGGGCAGGAAGCTGCACGATTGGGATAATAAAGCCTGCTTTTTTCCTCCTACCTAAGAAATCAGGGTCATACTTGGGAGTCCCCTTGTATGATGACTTAAAAAAAGGCAGTCAAAAGAGGAGGCATGTAATGGACCTAGGAAGCAATCAGAAATGGAAGGGGAAGATCTGGACCCCTGAAGAAATAATTAAGACATGGACCGGCCACGTGGGCCCAGGATGGAACCGGGGGGTATCGTACCCCAGTCTATATGTTAAATCGAATCATCCGTCTCCAGGCAGTATTAGAAGTGGTGTCAAACAGAACTGCCCTTGCTTTAGACCACATCAGCACACAATTGGCACAAACCAGGGCTGTAGTCTATCAGATTCGGCTGGTGGTGGACTACCTATTGGCAGATGAAGGAGGCATTTGTGGAAAGTTTAATTCCTCTGAATGTTGCCTGGAGATAGATGATAAGAGTGAGGTAATCAAAAAGATCTCAAAAGAAATACGAAAGGTAGCTTATGTGGGCACCCAGGAATGGACTCCTCTGGTGAACTCAGACTGGTGGAATGACCTTTGGTCCTTCAAGGGAGGGTGGTGGAAAAAGGTAGTCATTATTGCTGTCTGTGCATTTGCAAGTTTCTTGTTCCTACCCTGTTTACTCCCCTGTATAATCAAGACAGTGACTACCACAGTACAAGCAAGCATCCAGATCCCTGAAATAAAAGATAAGAAGCAGGCCAGGATCATGTTAATGGAAACTCAAAGTCAGGATCGAGAGCACAAAACTGCCAGGGAAATATATGAGCAATATCGAGAATTAAGAGATAGATATTCCCAAGAGCCAGAAGTTAATGGTTGATGCGGGCTAGAGCCCGATCAAAATATAAGAGGGGGGATATTGTTAAGAATAATATGTTACGATTGCTGTTTGTAAACCCCTTACTTACCTTGTACCCCTGTCCCAGGTTTACTTACCTTGTACCCCTGTCGCAAATTGCTGTACCCCATATTTCTTGTTCCTTGTTCAGCCAGGCCCTGCCCCCTCTCCCAAGTTGCTGTACCTGTGTTTCTTGTTCGTGTTCAGCCAGGGCCTGCCCCCACTGCTCCTAGACTCCCACATGGCAAGACTGTACCCCTGCCCCAAGTTGCTGTACCGTGTTCAGTTGGGCCCTGAGGAGGAGGATGACATAAGGACTTTTATGCAAACAAGAGAGACCAGAGACTCATGGGGCGCACCCAGACTGAAAAAAACCCCCGAAACAACGAGCCACACAAAAGGGAAGGAATAAAAACAGCACCATCGAACGAGGAAGACCCAGAGGAGTCCCCCGACTTCCCTCCAGAGGCCGACATAACCTCGAGGAGACTCGACTGGGTTGACACCCTAGACTACGAGGCCAAGAGAACGAGTCTTCCTGGGGACTCCCGTGAGGAAGGAAGGCCCAGCTCTGCCCTAGTGACAAAGCTGCATGGATCCTTCTCTTCTGTGGTGTCCAGTGTGCGCAACCCCTCGGGCCCCACCCCAGAGCTGTCCTGTTTAATAAAGGCCTTTTTAAAAGGAACTGGTCTCCTGGCCTGTTCATCACAGAGCCCAAAGCTGCTCTTGTGGAAGCAGAGACTTGAAGCTGCATCAGTCTCTGAATCTTAACTTGGCAGGGACATCCTTGGGCCATCAGTCTCTGGAGATACAGGCCCTGGAGAAGGCAGGTGCAGCTCTTGTGCACAGAGGATTTGTGCCCTGCTCAGAAGGCAGTTCCTGTCAACTGGGGCACAGAAATCCTCCCTAGGACACAGACAAACGCTATCAAAGATGAGGGCAAGAAACACCAGCCCAAGCTTTTCCAAGCAGATCCATTTGGTTCTTGAAGGTCTGTTCCTAGTGAGGAATCTTTGATGTAAGCAGCAGGACTTTTCTTCTGCCTAGAAGACCTAGTGATATATTACCAAACAGAGAACAGAGCAGAAAAAAAATGCACTTGTGGCTGTCTCAGAATTCTTAATCTATTTTATGAGCCTTAAACACTGCAGCTCTAGGCATTTCTGTGTAGGAATTTGAAAAGTTCCTGAAACACCATTTTTCCTCCTCAGGTGGCTGTTCTAAAGGCAAAGCTTTACTTTCCATGAATACTTATAAACACCAAGAACCTTTTTAGGCTTTTCCTTACATCTCCCCTTGGTCAGGGAAGACAGAAGGAACTAAGCGCATCCCAAAAGAGCAT